GAAGCAATTGGATATTGGGTTATCCACAGTGGCATTTGTTTGTTTATTCGCATCACCACTCAGGTGAGCTGTGATGAGATTCACTCGAAACCATGTTAAAAATATCGTGTCACGCTATAAGTGAGAGATGGATGTTTCTCGATATACAGGCGGAATAGCGCATGTTGGGTCGCGCTCCGGCCGAGCCGAGCCGCAATACCACGCGGCGGGATGCACCCAGGGGAGTATACATTTTCCCTCGCGGGAAGTAGGGGTTGTCATAGTTTGAGCTATTTGGTATTTCTCTGTGCCTTTCTGCTCCCTGTGGGTACCGTCGATCCGTATGGTCATTACCATACTCGGGGCGGTGGGTTGAGTGTGGGACTATTGCCAAAGGCTTTGGCGTATTTTATTGGCTATCGCATGCGCGCTACAAGATCTAATAAACAATCGCGATCTAGGGCTGCACAGTTCTTGTCTTGTTGCCTCTGAACTCTTCGATGGGTTCTCAATTGGGAACGACCCAACACTTTCCCGGGATCGTCCCTAAACCTCTGATGAGCTCGCTGCTAAACTTTCATTAAGGGCAATCCGACTACTTTAACACCCACAAAACGAGAGACCCTGGATATTGTCAATTTGTGAATGATACTCAAACCCGAAAAATGGACAGTGGCGTAGCCGTATTTAAGGAATAAGGCCACAGACATATCAGAATTTGAGCACTTTAAACAAAAGAGTAGATGTGATGCAAGATTTTGCAGTGTCAGATTACACAAAACTACACGAGATCTCTGAATCCTTCTTTTCGTAATTGAATGCAATATACATTTCTGGCTTCATCAATACCAAAAGGAACCCATTTCTCCCTCCAAGCTAAGTGCGGCCATAGAGGCGATCAACACTTCAACACTTTAATCTGAAGAATGTCAAGGGCGCGATCAGAAATTAAGAGCGCGGAGGCATTCAAGCGGAAAGGGGACAGTAAGATTTGATGTACGTCCAGTTCGCATGTGTAGCTATGAAATAGCTAATGAAAGAAATATTTTTCCGACAACGAGTGTAGGCCCCCGATTTATGACGTAGCCCCCCAAAATATGGCTTTCTCTATGGATATATAAAGGACGGAAACGTGCGACCTTTTCTCGGCTCGCTACCTTTAGAAAGTAGGCTGTGCATGAGATTAGTCACCTGGATGGAATCAGATACTCACGCTTCCATGTCCATCTGACCGGGGAATCGGGACTTCAGGCAACATGGCTATTTTTGTTTTGCTCACTTTCCATGAGAGTTTCCTTGAAGTTCTCTTTTGTATAAGTACCGGATGCTCGAAACTTTTGTGGTGGCGTTTGTTGGGCTTCTTTCGACATTGCTTTGTATCCTCACAATAACCCCTAACCTTGTGTGCTGACCTCCAAACGTCATCAGCAACGCCAACAACCACGCCACCGTCAGCGCGTTGGGCGTCTCCCGAACAGTTTTTCATATGAAAAAGGAGCTATGATAAGAGTAGCTGATGTTTACTCGAAAACAACCGTTACAGCATATGAGGGTATTTCTCTTTCCTTTCATGGTTGTCTTATGTGATTGTCTTTTGTCTGTACACGCTGAAATGAATCTTTGGAATTGCACCTTATAGATCCATCTTCCCTTATCATCATGTCTTTCTTCTAAGAATGCACTCTATCATTCGAGTGCCTCACAACACCTGAGCGAGGCTTCTTGTGTCCAATCTCTGCTTCGTGATCACCTCTACGTAGATTAGAGCTGATGGTGGTGCCTTGCAGGCCATCAAGTGCTTGTGTGGAAAAAAACAGTGCTTGAATCAGAGCTTCCACGCCTGGGTCGTGCCGGGGGGCCACAAGTATTCCGGGAAAAAGGGGAGCGAAAGCAGCGTAAGGTTCAGAAGCGACTGCTGCAGGAAATGCAGCAAAAGTCGACAGGGGAGCGAGAGGCGTTGTGTTGTTCCATAAAGATGGCCAGGGAGCGAGGGACAACCACGTAGCGTGCTCTTCTGGGGGGACAAGATCACTTCCAGCTCCTTGCCTGGTGGAAGTTTCATCTGGACGATCTCTTTCCATCCGTGATGGGCCTTGAGCCCTCTTTAACTCGCTTCTTTCAGGAATCTTATCCTCAAGAGCTTTATAGGGTAAAAATGCCAAGCTTACCACTTCGCGGCTGATCTCTTTACCATCGACTCCCCACAGGCAATCCATCGATCGCCGAGGACTTATCCAAACACCATCAGTATAATGCTCCTTCTGCCCAGCGGGAACTAGAACCCCGCCGTGATGATAGAGTAAAGCCAGGGCCGTAAGGGTGCGCCAGATTCTCCACTCTCCTCTTTCTTCCAAGCGTGCAAGCACTGGCCCTGTGAGCGGGAAATGTGCATGCATTACAGCGCGAGCCTCTTGCTCATCGTATAGCATCACCCTCCAGCGAGGGGAGACGTGAAGACGCGTCCATTCCGCCCAAGCCGCCCGCCACCCGTGCAGACCCGCGTCTTTATCTCGCTGTCGATGTGCCTGGATGCGCCGACGCTCGCGCTTACTGCTGAGCGATAGACGGGCAGAGAGATGTATGAGCATAATGAGAAGACGGCAATAGGGGGTAATTTCAATTTGCAGAATGCGATTTGAGTGGATAGGCAGCGCTTCCAAGAATCTTACCTGAAGAGGAATTGCCGTGAAGAGACAGAAAGCCAGCCCGCTATTCGTGATAAAAAAAATGATGCATCTCGAACAGGAAAAGGGGCAAGCTGCAGCAGATTCCGAGGAATGGTATTGGGTTGTCGGACCGCTGCGGCTCCACCACGCTCCCGCGAAGAACGGGGCCTGTCTTCCATATCCACGTCCATCTCCTCGCGCCGCCCATCTCCCTCAGCATCTGTATTTATGTCACGTATGTGTCTAGTATCGTAGCATAACTCCTCTAGTCTCACTGCCTGCGCCAACACCTCCTCCAAAGGTCTCGCAGCACATTCTTCGAACCTGACCATCGCCCCCAGTTTCCGCCGGCCAGTCTCCAAGAAGCAAGTGTCTACAGCCCTCGGCGCCTCCACCACTCTTTCAATCTCTCGGTCCACTCGGTACAAACTAGGATACCGAGGCGGCTTGAGAGCATGCAGCTGCTCGTAGGTAGGCTCGTCGTACGCCAGCTTGACCTGAGGGTCCAGCACGACCTTCCTATGCCCGTTCGCCCACAGGTCGGTGCAGAGGTTGCTACATTCCGAAATCACACCCTCTCCAGGCCGGACCGAGCGGAACCGCAGGCCACGGTAGAAAGGCGCGGCATCAAGGACCGCGAGACCATTCCAGCAGCAAAAAACGGGGAAAGCCTCCTCGTATTCGGCATCTCCCTCCGCATCCTGCCGAGACTGCCCTCGCACGTGCTTCACGAAAGGCTGGGCCCACTGGAATCGCTGTCCCTCCTCGTCGCGCGCCACCCATAGGTCGTAGAAAGTCAGCTCTTTGCGCACAGCCGCAGTATCTGGGTGCAGGTCCGGAAATGGCTCCAAGAAGAAGTCCAGGCCACAGGCCAAGTCGGCGTTGTAGAGAAGGAGACGAAGAATCTCGTAGGCACAGAAATACACATCATTTAGGAACACCACGTGATCGAATCGGTCATGGCGGTTTTCGCGCCCCCCTTGATCCACTACGAGTGTCCTGATAGCGCGGGTGCTAGGCCCCAATCCCTGCAGAGCCTCAGAATGATCCCCGTCGCCAACTTTCGACCCCAACGGCGGACGCGTCGATCCTCTTGCCTCGCTTGATTCATAAGCCTCCATCTCACGTATATCGTTGCTGCCCATACTGATCTCGATACCGTTTCTCATTCGGCCCGCGTCTCTTCTTGGACTTCCTTCTCCTGCCAGCCTTCTCCCCCATCCCGCGCCCTTCGTCGCCTGACTGCTACTCCCACCCCTTTCTGCCCCGATTTCTCCCTCTTTTAAATGCATCCGATACAAAGGTCCCATTGCCTCGTTGCGCATCCGTGCCAGAAACTGAATCCTGTCTTCCTCACCCACCCTCCGCTTCTCCCCCCCCGCAACCACTTCCGATGGCACGCCCATCTCCCTTAGCTCATCCTGCAGCAGACCAAGCCATCGGCACGTTGCATCCGTGGAACCGCTCTCATATATCGAGACGAATAAATGTGCGCCAGGATCGGGATAAAGAGAGGCTAAGAGAGTAAGCTGCTCGATCATATTGGCCATGATCCCCTCGTTGTCCTTCAAGTTTGCCGCAATATAAATTCGACGTTCGAAAATGTCAGGCGGCAGCAAGGAGGCATTGAAGACCGGACAATACGTCTCCATTACAGAAGCAGCTGTCCAGGGATGCAGGGAAGCCAGGGCTCGATATTCGCTGTCTTCGGGACGGAGCCGGCTCACGTGATCGTGGTAACGGCCGTGGGACCAGGAACCAGCCGAGGGGAAGCCATGCTTACTTCCTCTCTCCCACCACCACGAACACATGTGACCTATGGCGAACAAGATTGTCAATAAGCCCAAAAGCGAAAAATAGGGCCGACGTCGAGCAAAAGCGAGGAAAGCTACCACTTTGAGGGGCATTTGGGCCAACAACGACGATCCAGAAAAAGACGACGTCGATGAAGGGAACCAGGACCGAAAAGCCGCTTTGATGGAGAAAATCTCTGACGCAGGAAAGAAAGTTGGCGGCAGCAGTGATGGAGAATGCCGTCTTCGCCTCGTCTTCGGGGAAGAGAGAGGCGGTGGAGACGTTGGAAGTGGAGGTGAGGAGGTCGAAGGGGCATTCGATGATTGCACTAGCCATGATGTCCAGGACCATTTTCTTCTTCTCGGCTCTTTGCCATTGTGTCTTCTCGACGTCTGCGTCCCTGTCCGTTGATGAGGACAAATGGTAGGCTCCTCTGGGCCGGCAGGATCATGGAGGTTGCATATACACGTGCCACTGGTGGGGCTCCCACGACAACTGCTCTCTCCTCGCGTGGTCATAGTTTCTTGAACACCTAGCCGGGAGAAAATCTACCCAGACTACGACCCGGAATCTCCTTTAAACCTTCACATGCAGTTGCTTGTGACGTCTCGTCCTTACACCTGCAGAGTTTATGAGATACATGCATGAGACTGTCCCGGGATCTTTCCCTCGGATCGTGCCAATTCGCGCTCTCTGGATGCGTCCTAAACTAACGAATATACGCGGTAGAACCGATCTCAATGCTCATCTGTAGGACGACTCTACGAGGCTCCATCCTTCTTATTACCCGATAAGTATCAAGTTAGGCTATCGCGGTCTCCGTCAGTCGGGCCGCACGCCCTCGCCCCCTAGTTTGTTCGTGACGTTTCCTGTTCCTTCAAAGCGATGTCGTAGCGAGTGCTGCACCGGCAATCATCTAAAATTACATTATTTTCATACGCTCAATCAATCACAGGATCTGGATAAGGGTGAAAATGCTATGTTGCGCCTGTAAATCAGTGCATGCGACTATTAGTGTCGCCTTTATTGGTACTCGGAAGCCACATCGTTTGCCTGCATTGTTTCCATTGTTCCTTGCCCCGGCCCGAGCACTCAGCCATCAGGAGCCGAACCCTGCAACGTGCGGGACGCAAAACTCATCCTTCTCGATCTTGTTGAAAACGGTAGTAGCAGGATCATTCGTCGGTGCGGCATTCATCGCTGGGCATACAGCAGGGGCTAGCTGTGATGAAGTAAAGTCTCCGCAGGAGGTGAACAATGTAGGAGGCGGCGCCCCAGTGACTGCCCCCTACACGGTCACTTTTGCGTCCAATTATCATGATCGAGTGGACACAAAACTTCATAGAGCTTATCCTGAGTTTTTACAGGTTTGTACACCGATCTGATCGTTTTTTTTTCCAATCTTTGTTTTTTGTCCGGCTTTCTTTTGCTCGGGATGTACCGCTCACATGGTAAGCATCTCTTATTTTTTGGGGGTTGGGGCAGTACCATCTTATTCATGAAACGCTTCGAGGCAAGGAAAAGATAGAGGGCTACGAGGTGTACAAAGATAGGCGTGACGATTCTATCGTAGCATTTGCTCGCCTCGGGAAGCTTCTCAGCGGGCATCCGGATATAATCCATGGAGGCTCTATAGCCGCCTTACTCGACAACACTATGGGCGTGGCATTCTTCGCTGCCAATGTAAGGGGCTCCCGGGATGCTATGCAATCTTTCGGAGGGTAGTCACAATTATATCGGCTCAACAACCGTGGTGCAGGCACCAAATGTTTAAGCCGCGTGACTAAGACTGATGTGTGGATATACAGTTGGAGGGTTGTCGGAGTGACGCGTTGGTACTCATATATGCCCGCACTTTATAACGCCAAATAGAAAGGTAATGGCTTCACTGCCAACCTCACAATCAATTACAAGAGGCCGATCATTTGTGGCACCGAGATCAAGGTCTTGGCCCGAGTGGAGCGGTTTGAAGGACGCAAGGTTTTCCTACGAGCAGAGATTCGAGATGCTAAGGACGAGGCAGTGTTGTACACGGAAGCCACATCCCTCTTCATAACTTCACAAAGTCCTCTGCTTACGGGACCGAAGAAGGTGGACATCAGTTAGCATTGTAGTAGTACTTTTGTGCCATCAAAAAATACATTCTTACTCGCTCCGTAGGTTGCCGAATAAAGCTATCCCATCCGACGACATTCTCTCTTTATTCGTGAATGAGGAAGCGTATTAATTATTTTCCCTATTATTTCGTACACTGTTCTTCGAGATACCCCTTACAGTATACATTGATCCACCTTATCTGCACAATCTGCACAGTCTTTGTCTTTTCACAATTTGATCACTTCTTCGTCTTCAAAGACGTTTCATTTACGCATAACAAACGCAAGGAGATTCGCTCACCAGAGCTCTCCTGTCTGGACAAAAGGCTATGTTTTATACATCTCGTTTGGTGTCAACAACGGAATCCTCGCCTGCTAGAGTTCCATAGTCCATTGATGCGTTTTGAGCCCGCTTCAGACCTTGTTCTGCACTGTCAGTACCCGACAACTCCTCCTCAGGGATCGTGTTGATAGCCGACACCGGCACTCTCTGCCCTTCACTAAACACACCTTGAGTCAGTACGCCGTATGGCTCAGTCCACAGATAGAGCCTTGCTTTCGATACGTCGTTCGTCTGCCCCTTATCCGAGTACGGTGAGTAAGCTTGCTTTAAAGCCGTCCAAGAGGTGGGGCCATATTCCGCAATGTCAGTAGAGGCCAAGCTCTCAAGGGTGGCAACTGCCGCCACGGGTGTATACATGGAATGATGGTACAAGCCTAACGTGACAGTGACCACCAGCAATGGCAAAAGCAGTGCAGCTTGGGCGAATCCTCTTTTAATGCTGAAGATACCAAGAAGGAGCACCTGCTGCAGCAGTAATGCCGCAACGCAGCAGCCAGAGACAATTGGCCATTGCGTACCACCGGTGTGGGAGGTCGGTTGATACACATACATGAGTTGATGCACGTAGACGGGGTAGGCAAGTGCAAAGAACAGAAGCGCAAAAAGTGAAACGAGAGGTGCCACGGTAGAATAGGTGACAAGCGCCAGGAAAACTACGAGGGGTAAGTTATACAGCTCGTGCAGGCCCATGGGTTGAGTCAACAAATTCAGCTCATCCCAGAGACTACGACTTCCACGCGAAAATCTCTTTTTTAGGCTTATCATGACAAGTGCGCCGAGACGTGAAAGCTCTCCAGGTAGCCCACTCAGAGCTGCGAGGGCGATATACGTCATGAAAAAGGTGGACTGCGCGGGCAGCGTCGTTGCGAAAAGGTTTGAAACTTGTGCTGGATTTTCGGCGAGATCGATCACTTGCTGAATTTTGGACAAAAAGGAGCCCGCGATGGTATATGCCAAAAATATGTCAAAGAGCGCGAAGAGGAAAACTTTGTAGATGGCCGCGTTCTCGCACTCGACGTCGGAAACAAGGTGCTGGCTCCGACTCAAAGCTTTCATAAAAGAGGGAACAAGACTGAGTAGATAAACCACGATGAGCGGCGGCAAGAAGCCTTGGATGAAGGCTGTCAAGGCCGGGCTGGCATCCACCAAAGGCCTCAACCAGGTGAATGCCTGGGTACGTGAGAGGGCGGTCAAATTCGCCAAGGAGGAGGCAAAGGCCACAGGTACAGTGTAGCCAAGTATGGCCGCAGCTACTATCGACCATACAAGCACGTTTCGAATATAGCGCTCCCGTTGAGAAGAGCAAATGTGTTGCCACAGGAGCTGTGCGGGAGCAGGAGCCTCGCTGGCAGAGAAATACTCGGTACGGGGCTGAAAAGGGATGGTCTTCGACGCAGTGGCGACACGTACTGAGCCTAGGGTCAAAATACAGGCATGTACTTGACTTTCAAGGCTTTCAAGCGCCTCGCGCTCGTCCCTGACTAAAGATAACAGTCGATTGCACTGCCCTATCTCATTTTCCATGGCTCCGATCGTGTCGATGTGAGGTCCCCACGCCGGAAGCAAGCGAAAGGGGGCACCAAACACATGACAAAAGTCTCTGTGGACGGGACGATGCAAGCCACCGGTTGCCTGCAATTCATTCTCTGCCCGTGCAAGACGCAATAATGCTGCGTCTTTGCGCCTTGTCAACCGGTCGTAGCGCGCGCGTCGATGACGGTTTACACAATGGACGGCAGCTACGTCTTCGCCTAGCAGATTACGTAGGTAAGACAACAGTGCATCGCAATCCATAGGTTGGGGGATATCGCGCACGAGGACAGAATAATTCTGTGCTGTGGGAGCGCGCAAATACCGTTGGCGCAGTTCGACGTACACAATGTACTCACGATGCAACACGTACAACGCCAAGCCGCCCAAAACGTACGCAATTTTCAGAGGTACCCAGAGCAAACTAGACTGATCTGCAACATTGGATAAGGAAAGGCGCTCGAG